AATCTCAGACAACCTTAATATTCCATTTACTACCATTAGTTCATTCACTGCAACGTATAAAAAAGTCAAAACTCTTGAAAACCAAAGAAAAACAGGTGCTCCACTGAAGATTTCTTCAAGATCTTCGAGGAAATTAATGCGTCAAATTAAACAAAATCGAATGGTTACTCGTCAAGCGTTGCAGGATAATTTGCTTCCATCAGGAATCTGTCAGTCAAAATAAATGAAATTTACAATAACAAGAACGCTCCCCTGAACAAAATATATTAGTAATAGTAGGTATAATGAAAAAATATATATATCAAAATATTTTGGAAGCAAATTTAATAATTTCGGTTGAAAATCTTGAACTTCCTCCTGATTGTATCATCCAACAAGATAATGATCCTAAGCACGCTGCAAAATATACGAAGAAATGTCTTGCTGAAAAAAAATGTAGATATAATCAAAGAGTCAAATCAATCCCTAGATTTAAACCCAATCGAGAATCTTTGGCGTTATTTGAAAATTCAAATCCAATAGCGAGCTCCAAGAAACATTCCGAATCTGAAGACCATATGCGAAGAAGAATGGAACAAAATACCAACTAAAGTCTGCAAATCATTAATTGAGAACTACAAATGTTGGTTGCTGTAGAAGTGAATAATGGTTATTCTACAAAGTAAATGAAGTTTATGCATTCTTTTTTATCACCCATTAAAATGGATAAATGGGATTTATGTCTATTAAATCAAATTTTTTCTCTTTCCTATGCATATTTAGTTATGCATCTGTGTCCATTTAATTATATGAAAAGTATGTTTATTCATTAGCTGGAAATAAATAAATTAAAAATTTGTATGTTTACATATGTTGTTTTCCTCCACTATATATATATATATATAAATATATATATATAGTGAAGGAAAAACAAGTATCAGTAAATGATAATACACATATATATATATATATATATATATATATATATATATATATATATATATAGATACGATTATCGCAATTATGAAACTTTGATTGGAAATTTTGCATTACTGCTATAATTTACGCTGGCGATTTTTGTACGTGATATTTTTTTTTGCGACGAATTTTTTTTTTACGATGAACAATTTTTGTAACTTGGAAATAAAGTTGTTAACAATCAAAATTACGAAAGTCTCTCCTGACATAAAAATACTTGTTTGTATGGAAAGTAAGGGCCTACGTGCATCAAAACATCTTTAAATTAAATTAACAATCATATTTTTGAACTTTTATAATGTAATCTTGAATATTGATGAAATTCTTAAATGTACTGATCAGTTTTGAGTGGATGTAGTCTGTTGCTGTTTATTGCAAATATGATTGGTTAGAACTTGTTCTGATGAAGACCCTACGAGAAGAAAAAAAAAATACCGCCAAATCTTTAAATTTTTCTTTTAGTATTATATATATTTTTCTTATACATATACATACATACGCATTATATATATATATATATATATATATATATATATATATATATATAAATATATAAGCTGTTCATAGAATATTCCATTTGAAAATATTTAAGTTTATAAATGTTGCATTTTAATATATACACAGGTTTGAGTAATATTTCTCTGTTCGTTTTTTTTTTTTTTTTACTCTATGTCAAATCATTTTTCTGGTTGTGTTGGTCTTTAACCGAATTTTATCGTTAAAGTAATTACCATGGCTTCGAGAAATACCGTGCTGTGAGACTCAGTATGGAACTCCGACGACCTACTCGGTCAGGGAGTAATTTGATTTTTTGAGAATCCACACACATATACACACACGCATTATATATATTATTAAAAGTTGATATTCCACTTTTATTTTTAAATAGAAAAATACGTAAAGAAAGTAGGAAATTTATTTGAAAAAAAAAATTGATAAAAGAGAATTTATCAGTCTTTATCATCTTGAAGCCTACGTACATAATGATTGACTAAACCAATTAATTTCTTTTTATATACCAGTACTCATTCTAGCGAAAAAAATTCAGTCAGCAATCACTCGAACTAAATTTCTTTATTTGTGTTCATGGTCTTTCTCATAAAGCGCTACTATACAGATGCGTCTTTTTGTAGACATAATTAGTTCGTAAGTGGACTAGCAGAATCAGACTAGTAGACTTGAATTTCGTATCGCCATAAGCGTCCCTGTATCTTCAGCTTTCGATATATAATTACATAGACAACGTCTCTTTCCGTTCTCATATCTATATTAAAACTAGAGTTTTAAGGTATGTTATATTTATAGATAAAAGTGCTCAATATCAAGGATAGAGCGCATATAAATAAGGAAAACAGCATCAGCCTACAACAGTAAATATGAAAACCCTAAACTTTGTCTGAAGGAGAAAATAGTTATAATCGCCAACACCAATTACTATATAAACGATCAGAATTTCCTTCAATGCAGATACAAAAACAATTTTTTATGACGTAACTTAAAAATCGGAAACTAAAAAATACCTTTTAAAATGCAATCATAAAAATGCAAATATATGCACTATATACAACGCATGTAATCTAATATACTTTAGACAAAACAATGCTTTAAAGTAAATTCATAATATAAACAAGCCCCGCAAACATAAAGTACAAAATAAACAACAAAAAACACTAAATAAACATATTAAGTAAATAATAAACTGTTGAAACTTGACTAATGCATGGAATAATAATGCAACACAAAATGTACTTAGAACAAAATGTATTGAAACAAGAAAGTGTACACAATATTTACATATAGTTTTTTGTATATTCCTGGTAAGACCGTTCCTGGAGAATGTGTTGACTGAGTCGCAGTCGGGCAGAGTCTCTGGTTGAATCTCTTGATTCCTTCCTCTCTTCCCGGTACCAACCATATTTATATGGTCGGTACTCCACTATGCAAATTAGGTGGATCCTACCACAACGTAACAATAATAAGCAACAAATAATTATGTAATCAATAACAAATAAGTAAAAAGTTAACAAACCGCATTCAGATCCACAACCATTCTTACTCAATAGCCTGTCCTTTGTAGTTGACTTCACTGCTGATAATCATCGGTCGAAAGTAAATTTTCCGTATCTATTTTTGCGACAGGTTCAATTTAACCAGACCTCAGATGACTCATATTTGTACAGTACCCTAAATATTATGTTGATGTACCTTAGCAAATATAAGTTCTTACACCCAGAGACTCAACAGTTCAAATCAATTCTCTACAGATTATTCGGTCAAGTGACCAAAGACGGCCACATTACGGTCGACGTTCTTCTATTTGCCACTTATTTTCAGGACGTGGGCGATCGTGTCTCTCCATAACTTCCTGTCCTCTGTAGTTCTTAGTAAAGTTGGTCTTTTCCTTATCCCCTCAATCCCCGTTCTATATATTTACACAAGCTCTTTGGGTACGTCATGCACTACTTTCATCTGTCCCTCTTGTCTTCAGAATATCCTGTGAGTGTCAAATTCTCCAAACCCTCTTTCCCCATTGTGTATCCTAGAAAGTTCAACTGTTTCTTTAGGATTATAAGTAAGACACCTCTTTTCTTTTTATTTTTTCCTTAAAACTTTCTCGTTACTAACATGTTCAGTTCATGATATCCTCAGCATCCTTCTGTAGAACCAAATTTCTGTTGCCTCAAGTCTCTTCTTCATCTGTGAGGAAATTGTCCGGCATTCACTGCCATATAGGAGGATTGATATGATGTGATAGTTCAGTGCTATTTTCTTTATTTATAATGAAATTTTTCTGTTTCTTAGTATTTTGCTTAGCCTTTGGAAACATCATCTGTTTATATTTCTGAGATGAGGTATTGTAACTATTTACATCGTTCGGTCTGTAATCCTCATCTCTATTCTCATATTCACGTCATTTCGGTCATTGTATTCTCTGGCCTTCTTCAGGATCTGTTTATATTTCTGAGGTATTGTAACTATTTACATTGTTCGGATTATTTTCCTCACCTTTATTGTCATATTCACAACGTTTCGGCATTTGCACGCTCCGGCCTTCTTCAGGTAATATTAATTGGAATTTTGAACCTAAACCTTTATTTAGTCCAAACATCTTTCGCTATTCCAATGTACCTTCAGATTTTGGTATCATATTCCGTCCACCGTTAAAGAAAAACTTCCTAGATAATTCAGTTTGGTTTGATTTTGGCGTCTCCTATTTGTAGTTCGCATCTTGGGCTGTCCCTCCTGCTGAAAACCATATATTCTGCCTTATGTTTAGCCCTTCTTACTTTCCTTTATTACCTCTTGTAGCAGATCTTGTGGCTTCATTGTCTCTGCCTGCTATCAACAATGTGTCATCTGCATATGTTTTTGCCAAAGAAGAAGGCAAAGCATATGCAAAGGCAAACCTGATGGATCAAAAACTTAACTGGCTTAAACGTATTTATAAAACAACAAGAATGACGAATTTGAACAAATTATGTAATGATATATTAAATATTATGAATTATTAAACATCTTTTTTAATCTATAAAAAAAAAAACAGGCACAAGGAAGTCATTTAGTTATTATTAAGTCTTTCTATAAGATTTGGTACAAAGCATTTCAAATGTGAAAGCTACGTTTTACTTTTATCTTGAGGCAACAACGCAATCAGGCTTCATGCTACCCAAGTCTAGTTTACGAGGGTGGATGCTCAGTTTACAAAACGAAAATAGCGATTACCCATAGCTACCAACAGAGCCATTATTTTTCTTCTTTTTGAAGGACCCATTGCCAACTATACACTTATTGTAACAAAATAGCCCTTTAAAAGATGAAGCAATGGGACAAAACATTGAATTGGGCTCGATATGCAAAACATCCAAACGCTTGAAACATGAAAACAAATTTGGCTGTAATGCAGACATTCAAATAAGTAAACGAGGTCTTCTTTATCTCCTACGTTGCTTTTAGAAAGGGCAGATGTTTAATTGCCCAAACTTAGGGGTATAAAATATGCTAAGAGGATAAATTCTGAGTCTCGTTTTCTCTCATAATTGGTTTACAGCCACACCACGTTGAAACACCTGTTCCTGTACGATCACCGAAGTTAAGCAAAGTCGAGTCTGGTCAGTAACAATATGGGTGACCGCTTGAGAATACCAGCTGCTGTAAACTTGAATGTGTGGATGGTGTAATGGATAATGGTTCACAGAAATCGGAGCGCCGAATTCTAATTCCAGGTGGTTTTACGCACAAATACCCTTGGGAAAATACCTCGTCCCATCAGCTATGGGTTAATTAGTAAGACTAGTATTATTATCTGGCTTTAAATAACCTGCAAACGGTTGATAAGCAGTAGAAAACGAATCTATTTCTTTTACTTAATGTTTTGTATGGCGTTTGGTGTAAAGTTTATTGGCACGTAAAGTGGGATCGGCTCGTCGAATTCATTTTCCGGCCTAGTCTACAAAAAATAAATAAATAAATGAATAAAAAAAAAATAATTAAATGGAAAAAAAAAACATTAAAAATATTTATTTTCGTCAAGTTTGGCGTCTTTTTCATCATGCTATGCTCTTTTTTCATTTTTATGCTCGTCGAATTTATTTACCGGTCTAGTCTACAAAAAAAAAAAAAGAAAAAAAAATGTAGATATCGCAAAATTTGTCTCATGAGGTTTTAATAGGTTCGGTGTTAATATATGGTATTTTGGTAAATGTTGGATTCGGTAAAGATGGATGGGTTCTTTTGGTGATTAAGTCAAGTGTAAGAATGAATGGGTCGTGAATCAGTTTAGCGAGGTGTAGGATAGTTGAGTGACGACCAGCTTTACCCCACTTCCCCTTCGGTATTATGTCACATGAAATATATTTCATTTCAAAATAAATAATGTCCAAAATAATAATAATAAAAAAACAACAAAGAAATAAAAATTCTCAAGAAAACTTTCAAGACTGATTCAGTGAGCAAAGCTCAGATAAAAAGTTTGGTTCCGTTGCTTCAAACTTAGCCGTGAATCCGTCGAAAGCGATTCACATTTTGAGAGGCGTTCAACAAGCAGAACCTCCGAAGATATTGAGCGAGTGCGGGTTGCTAACAAAGAATTCCAGGGACTGTTCGTAAAATATCCAACCATTTCAAATATCACGATGACCCCCCCCTTCTTCGCGTCTCGTGTAGCGATTTTGTCAAAACATCGTATCCTCCAGATTTGTCAGCACCTCATTCCAAACCAGATTTGTCTTCGAGCAACCTCTGGTTTTTTTTTCAAAGCGCTCATGCCTGTGGGAAAGGCACGAATTCGTCTTTTAAGAAAAGCTGTGGGTTAAATAGCAGAGTAGATTGGAGTTAGAGACTCTAGTCTACACTGTTATTTAACCCACAGGGTAGCAGTTAGTGTAAGAAGGCTATTCAGAATTCAAAACCATGAAGAAGATAAAACAGAAACCTTTCAACTATTTTTACCCAAAGAAACTATAGCAATTCACAAATAAAGAAAAAGGAATCTGTGGGACGAGATAATCGCCGACGTCTTGAAGTGGCATGTCATAGTAAATTTATGTTGGATGTAAAACTTTTACACCGTTATTTTCCATTATATAACATAATCGAGCCACAAAAAAACAATTAACAGGCCTAAATAATTGCTGAAATGATATAATATTTTTCATATATATATTAATCATTCCGTTGTTATCAGATATTCTTTTATAAAATGCATCTTAAGTTTTTATTTTCATCAAGGGTTTTTCAGTCCATAGTGTGCAGGTTTTAATTCTATAGTGGACAAATTTTATTTACATTATGCATATTGAGACTGTTGTCAATCTTTTTTTGATGTTATCCTACAGGGAATTTCGAACTTTATTTAATCTACAGGCTGGTCCAAAAGTATTGTCACCCCGAATGATATAGTTTTCTATTTCAGATGGATGGTGGAGTAATGGATAGCGGCACGGATTGAGGAATCGGAAAGCCGAGTTCGAATTCCAGTCGAATCCATTACATTCACTTACGTGCTAATACCCTTGGGAAAGGTATGAATCCTCTTCTCCCTATGGGTAAATAGCAGGACAGACTTGGATGGCAACTGGTCCTACCCAGGGATTGAACTCACAGTTACTATGTCATTAAATTTGCGAAACAACACTTTAATTCACTAGTCTATTGTCCGATGCGAGTTTTAATTGTATTGGAAATTATTGCTGGGTTTATTTACTCCATATTGTATCTCTTTTGAGTCCTTAAAACGCTTTATAACTAGTATAATATCTAATTCATTATGAAATGCCTTAAATTTAGAGTTACAACTGTGTGTCTTTTTAAATTCAAATTTTTCTTTTTGGAAATTAATTTTGAACGTTCTCACTTAACCTAAATCGAGTATGTCATGACATTTTCTAATAAAAAAAAAATACTTGTAATTTTTGCGTGGTTATTTATTTTATTTTTATTTATTAATTCAGTTCGGTACCCCGTTGTTGGGCGATGAATTAATGTTCTCCCCCTGAAAGAGGTTCTACCCACTTCCATTGCTTATGATAAAGTGGCGTACTGGAGCATGGATTGGAGGCTTGACTCATCTGGTCCGATCTATAAAAGATACCAACTCGAAAAACAAGTTCATCAAGTTTTCAAATATTTTGCTGACTAGCCAGAAGAAAGAGAGGTGGGTGGGCAAAAGGAAGCCTTTCCTCCTGACCACACCCAGATTAAGAATCCCAAATAAATTTAAACTGAATAAATGTATAGGTTCCAGGTTAAAAAAAAAAAAGAAGGTATATCTGTACACATTGACTACCAACGATGTCGGCGTTATAAAAACTGAGTTATATTGCGCTTGGATTTTTCTGACACATTTTCCTCTTCGGATTGATTAATTCGTTTTCTACGGTTTATCAAAACTTTGCAGGTTATTTAAAGGCAGAAAATAATTTTAGATTGCAAGAATTCTTTTTTTTGAGATAATAATGGTTTAGTGATATGTCTCACTAATCAATCCATAGCTGGAAGGAGAGGTGGATTCATACCTTCCCCAAGGGTATTTGCGCGTAAATCAATATAACGAACTGGAATTGAAACTCGACTCTCCGATTAACAATAACGTACCATTATCTATTACAACACCCGCACATCCAAGTTTACAGCTCTTGGTATTTCCAGGCTGTCTAAGCTCGACGTTGCTTAACTTCGGTGATTGTACGGGAACTGTATAGCGGCTTACTTTCAAGTCAACTTGCTTACTTTTCAGATTTATACATTAGTATTGCTAATGTCATCCAGGCTCAGCTTTGAAAAAAGAAAATTCATCCTGAAATGCTACTGGAAGTACGAGAATGAAGTTGAAGTTCAAAGGCGATGGCGAAGAGAGAGTTTCATTCAAATCCACCCACGCGGCGTACAATCTCATGAATTAGAAAATAAGTTTGAAGCTGATGGTGGTGTACACAAGAACCATTCTGGAAGACCACAGATATTAACCACGCCATGTTGAGCAAGAAAGGGTGATGGAAAGTTTCCACAGAGGTCCAAGAAACCTATCGAAATGTTGATTGCTGCTTATTTCAATGAGTCGTGTTTTCAGCAATTTCTGGATCATAATAATCATCATTTTGAAAACGTGATGACAAAATCTCAAATCTCAAGGATACATTTATAATAAATACTGTTATGAATAATCAAGAGTGGTCTCCATTCGTTTTATTACTCTCCTCTTTAAAGAGCTATTTACTGGGACTATAAAAAGACACTATACGTGAACCTCGGATTCTCAGTTGAATAAAAATTTTGGACTGTGTTTGACATTTTTTTGTTCAGTCTGAGAATCCTTTGGAACCGCTAACTGCTGTTATTCCGTTAAGTTTTGATTTATTTTTACCGTTTTTCTTACGTTCGTTTTGACTGTTTTGTTATTTTTTGATTTTTCCTTTTCGATTCCTTACCCTCCTCATTTTTATTTTTTACTTTATTTTGCTATTAATCTTTTATTATTTAACTTTTTGATTTTCTCTTACGTTTTCTTTTTTGAATTTATTTTCTTCCCGTGCCCACTTCCCAGAGTTTATCTGTTTAGTTTTTCGTTTTTACGTTTTCCGTCCGACTTTATTTTCCTGTGTTTATTACGTGTTACTTTGTTCTGTGTTTTTTCTTTTAAATAACTGTAAATTTCTGTGGTTTATATGTTAATTTTTTCTGTAATATATTTGTTTGTAAATTTTGTGTTTATTTTGTATATTCTGTCCTATTTTTTCTCTCCTTGCTTATCGTTTTGTTTTCGGGTTGACCGTTTTTTATCGGCAGCCATATTGTAAACTGTTACATTTATCATTTCGTATTTTATTTGTATAGCGTTTTCTTACTTTACCGTTTATAACTCCTCATTTTATTGTGTAATTTGTTGCTTTTTTGTCTGTAGTCCTTTTAATTTTGTGTACGTTCTTCGTTTTTGTGACTGTTTTAAATTTGTTGTTTCGCCTTTATGCGAACCTTGTTCACTTGTTCTCGTCTGTCGTGCATCCATTTGTTTTGCCTTTAGGCGAACCTTGTTTCTTCGTCCGTCCAAACATTTTGTACGTACGTTTTATTTTTTTGTCGTTTTGTAAATTTGTAGTCTCGCTTACCTGCGAACCTCGTTTATATTGTTCTCGTCTGTCGACCTTTGTTTTTTCGTTTATATTGTTATTAATTTTATTGTCTCGCTGTTAAGCGAACCTTGTTTATTTAATTTTACCTTTTGTAATATTGTTTACAACTATGTAACTATTTTTCATTTTTTACTCTTCCCCTTCCCCTTAAAAATGAAGAAAAAAAGAATCCTCTCATTTTTAATTATCAAAAAAAAAAAAAAAAAAAAAAACCCCAAAAACCCCCAAAAAACGAAAGTGGCCTACCTTAGGAGGTCGCTCAGGAACCACTTATTTTCTATAAAAAAAGACCCACCTGACAAAGACAATCCGGATGAATACTCGGCATTAATTCCCGGTAATGAAGAGGCCGTTGGTAGCCCGGAAAAAACAAAAGGTTTGGAGGCCAATAATGGCCAAACTAAAAAAAAGTATGATGAGACCCAAGCGATGGAGGCCAATAGTGGTCAAGAAAAATGTATGTTGGCCAATAATGGCCAAAAAGCATTTTCCAAAAATGCAGAGGCCAATAATGGCCGAAAAGATAAT